GCCATGATCCACGAGCCAGAGTACATTGTCACGGACCAAGACCCGTCCATCGGCATTGCATTTCCTAAGGTATTCGAAACGTGCAAGCACCGATTTTGCATGTGGCACATAATGACTAAGTTAGGGGACAAAGTTGGTCATTCATTAAACAGTGATGTTGAATTTAAACGGCGGCTTAATGAAATTGTATGGGACAGAAATATAGAATCTGTTGAGTTCGAAGCAAAATGGGCATCCATCATGTCTGATCATATGTTGACCACGCACAAATGGTTCAATGACTTGTTTGCAAAAAGAGAATATTGGATTCCGGCTTTTTTCAAAAATGTCAACATGAGCGGCTTAATGAGGACTACCTCTAGGTCCGAAAGCGAGAACAATTGGTTCGGAAACTTCACAAATAATCATTCCAGCCTAGTCGAATTCTTAATGCATTTCGACAGTGCGATGGATGCACAACAAAACACGTCAATGAAGCTACACAACGATAGTGAATCCCTACAAGCAGAATTGAAGACGCCTCTTCCCATTGAGAAAGCTGCAAGGTCTGTTTACACAACATCAATGTTCTACCGTGTACAAGAAGAGATTTGCGCGGCGTGTTTCAGTTGTCGAGTAATGAGCTTTTCTGAAAAGGATGGTCACACGGAATTTGTAATCAGAGACGCAGATGGTAACACTTTCAGTGTTGTTCACGAGATCATTTTGAATACAACGACATGTTCGTGCAAACACTTTGAATTGTACGGGTGGTTGTGTCGTCACGTGTTTGTTGTACTCAAAGATTTGAACATGCAATCTATACCTTCTGCGCATATCCTGTCACGGTGGACGAAAACGGCTACTCTTAATCCCATTTTCCAGGTTCTTGATGCCGCGTCTGCCCAATGCACCAAAATTGACGATAGAAAGTTCCTGCTTAGCAAGTTGTGGTCGGATATACATACATGTATGGGATTGACTGAGCCTTGTGTTAACCGCCTTATCGAATTTTCAAAGGTCATCGAAGCACACAAGGTTAAACTACTGTTTGATCAAGGCGAGTACGCAGCAGTCAGTAATAAAGAGCAGCAGTTTGAGTCTTTTGTTGGCACGGCTGCGCCTCAAGAGGTGACCATTCACCCTCTGACACACTCGAAAAAAAAGGGCAGCGGAAAACGACTAAAGAGTGAAAAAGAAAAGGCAATTGAACAGTCGCAAAAGAAGCGGAGGGTTTGCAAGTCCTGTGGCGAAAGAGCCGGTCACAACGCACGTACGTGCCCCAAAAAACTGTAGGCATATAAGGTATATATTCACATCTCGTCATGGTGATTATTTGACCATTATACACCTGTAAGTTTCTCGTTTCTCAATTCAGGAATTCTTTATGTCCATTAATATACACCTGCACACATACCTATTATATTCGAAATTGTATTGTTTATTCGTGTTATTCCCAAATTAAACCAATCCATTGGGCTACTACGAAAAAACACCATCCAATGTGTGCACAATGACACACGATGATATCCATATTAAATTTGACATATGGTTGACATATAATGTATTTCATTTGCAGAAAGTGTGTGGAATCAAATTTGATGGAAATTGTCAAAGGGTTCATGATACAACCGGACATTGTGTTGAACGATTGAGAGACGGTGCATTTTATTATGTTATTAAACATTACCATTATTTCGTGACCAGACATTGTATAATTTTTAGTTTTATATCGTGTTTGACCAACTAGATTGCGTGTGGACTATAGATGAATGGTGATCACAAACATCAGTTGAATAATGCACCTCAGTGTATATCATGTTGCACTTTTATTCGATTTTAATTGCACCTTATGTAATAATATTTAAACTAACATGTTGTCTGCAGAAACAAAATTGTGTATAAACAATATCTTAATGATATAACAAACATTTAAATAAAAAGATACAGAATAATAATAATAATAACAATGGCACAACATCGCATCACTTATATTTGTAATTTATCGTTGCACTTTATACAACAAGTCGTTGCACTTTAGTTTCAAATTCATTGCACCTTATACAACAAGCCGTTGCACTTTAGTTCCAAATTCGTTGCACTTTATACAACAAGCCGTTGCA